ATCTACCAACACAAAAGCAGCACCTGGAAGAAAGGACAGACCCTTTCTTGAATCCTAACAAAAAGAATTCCCTCAGTTTTTCCAGTGAAAAAGCAGCAAGCTCAGTTAAGATTGCTACATTGCAAGTGTTCCATTACAGATGCAAAACTTATTAAATCTGGCAAAGAACAATGACAGTGAAGCCAAGAACAAAGTGGAAATCCTTGACTCTGGCACTGCTTTACAAGCTGATTTGTTTTTAAGAACTCACAGTGAGAATCTGTATATTTTTAAGACACATTTCCAAGTCTTTCAAGACTAACTATAATAAACCCACTTGTGTTTATGACTTGAACAAAAGACACAGCACAATGTAGTTTTGAACTGTTTATTTCACATGTCCCATACCGGAGTTTCTTCAGTTAAAAGTTCCTACAAGAAAATGAAACAAACATTGTTACAAATCAGTTTGCTTCAACAGCTCAAGTAAATATCTTTGACCAACTGTGTAATCATCCTATAAATGCAATGTACAGATTGTCATCCTCAAAGCTGGATTTGGGAATGGAAGTTCCCCCTGCAGGAGTTAGAGGGTAAGATAAACATACGTACTTGGACACAATTCCATCATTTTTTGCCAGACGCAAAATGGAGTCATCTGATTCACCCTGTAAAGAGAAAAGGAAATATTCTCAAGTGTCCAAATAATTGCTGACATATGTGGAAGAGAGGCAGCTGCAGCAGTTAGTGCAGATTAGTGTATTCAAAATAAACTGTTACTTTTTTGTCATCCTTAAGGGCAATTCCTTACCTTTAAGGATGACAAAAAAGTAATAAAAATATAAATGCATATATAAAACAAAATATAAATGCATATATAATGCATACTTAATATTAAAAATATGCATTTGCATGAACAACATATATATATGGATAAGTGGATTTGTGATACACTCCTCATTTTAAAGTCAAGGTTGTATCACCTCCAGTAATTATAAACAACAGATAAAAGCCAGAATTAGTACCTTGATACACATTCTTTAAAGAAAATAATTTGTGTATTTTATTTTGAAAAAACAACAAACATCTCCAGAAGAAATTGATTATTCCAAGCAATCCAAGGCCCTGGCACAGGGAAGCTGTGGCTGCCCCATCCCTGGCGTGTCCAAGGCCAGGCTGGGACAGTGCAAGGTGTCCCTGCCCACGGGAGGGATGGAACGAGATGATCTTTAATGTCCCTCCAAACCAAACCTTTCTGTGAGTCTGTGAATCTGCTTACACACTTCACAGAGTGTTCTCAGGGCCAGACACACAGCTCCTCAATGACTGGAGATCAGAAGCAGCAGCACAGCAAAGCTGCAGCTCAGGAAGGTGCTCACCATTCTCCGGATGGGGCCGCAGATGGCGTAAGTCTTGAACTGGCCGTTCACCCTGCCTGTCACCTTGTCCACCTGCAATCACAGCCCAGCTTTACCAAGTTTTACACTCTCACAGCACAATTGCCAAGTTAAAAACTGCACAAAGATACTTGCAGTGTTCAGAAAATAAATCCCAGAATCTCAAGGCAAACACTGGAGTTAGAAAGTCAACTACAATGATCTTTGCACAGCAGCTTTGTAGCTACACAGTGCAGGCATAAAATGCAGTGGATTACACACTGACAAGAACTGGTTGCTAAAAGAAAAAAAATATTTGAGTTCTGAACAAATGGAAAAGCTCTGTGTAAAGTAGATTTTCCTGCCTTTACTCTTTTTTTGCTTCTTTTAACTGAGGTCATATAATGGAAAATTGAACTGAAGGGGGAAAGGGACAGACTTGGTACATGGGTAGGAAAACGTCCAAGCTGAGAGACAAATTGTCTCACTTTCTCCAGCTGCTGAGAAATTTAACAGGAAAAACACCAAAAGACATAAATTATGGATTTAAACAGGGTAGTGGACCCTGTCATACCAGGTGGGCTCATTTCCATGTTCTGCTAATCTCTGATCCTTTGAAAACAAGGAATAGGGATCACTGGAGGAATTAAACATGCTGAAGAGGAAAGTACTTCCCTTAACAATTACAGGAATTACAGGGTGGTTTTTTAAAGGTTTCTCTTTTTTTTGGTGAGATAACTCAGGAGCCTCAGATTTTTAGTGGGGATGTGGTCTCCCATTCAAGAACCAAATCAAGCTCTGTAGCTCATAAGCGACAGGAACATTCTGTCCACAAAATTCCTGAAAGCTGAATTTAATAAACAATTGGGAAAAAAAAAATCCATGCTACAAGGAGCTTAAATTAATTAGAACCCACATGTATTCACTGGGAGACTGCAGGAGTCAATGCCTATTGTGACTTTCTTTATTGAATTACTGAAGATACATCACAAGCTGTTTGATTCTGTAACTTTTATCAAAGTTTAAAGGTTTAGCTCTCTCATCACATATTCTGTTGATAAACTTACCTCAGAAATGTTTATCTGGATGGAAGCATGATCCTTAGCACCAATGATTCGGTTGCTAGCAGAGCTAAGGAACAAAGCAGGACAGATTTAAACAAAAGGAAACAGCAGTGACAATGGCAAAGAAAGCCACTAGAGCCAATCCTACAGGCAAATTAAAACTGCACAAGGAATTCGGACAGCAACAGTTTAAGCTTTCATTACTTAGAAGATTAAAATGCAGTTTTAAGTACATTTAAAGGATATTTTCACTTATTAGCCAGTTTTCCCTTCACTTTGGTTTCTATGTGCCCAGTTCACCTTCATGCAGTGTACAGGGCAGTACAGGCCCCCAAAACACACAGAATGTTGTTTTCTTCTCTAAAATGCAAAAATACAGTCAAGATAATTAATAAAATTAGTTCCTATGCCTTTTTTTGCTGAGAGCCACTACAGCTGTCAAAGACACTCAGGTTGGGATACTCAGGAATTACAGACTGTAAAACATATTTAACTTAATCTAATAAAATTCATACAAGTGGCTTATTTTTACTGACTTTTTAAACTGATAGAAAACTGACGTTTTTTTTCTCCTCCTACAGATATTTGCTGCTACAAAAAGCCCTTTTGCACAGGCTGCACAGGTGATGGCTCCAGGGATGTTTCTGGGATGGATTTTGGGGTATTTTGGGCACCCCTCCTGCCCTGGCTGGCCCCTCAGTCCCTGCTCACCATTTCCGAGGGACATAAAGGTCCACGAACTCCCCGGCGTCGTTCTGCATCTCGTCCTGCTGCTGCTGGGGCACTGAGCACACACACCTGCAGGAATCACGGAATGTCGCCATTGGGGAGGGACCCACAAGGACCACCGAGTGCAGGTGCTGGCCCGGCACAGGCACCCCAGCATCCCCGGCAGCGCAGTCCCATTCCCCGGGGAGCCTGGGCAGTGCCTGCTTCTGGGGGAAAAACCTTCTCCCAAAATCCACCCTCACCCTCCCCGACTCAGCCCCAGCCTTTCCTTTGGGGCTCGTCGCTGCCCACAGTGCCCAGAGCCGTGAGGCGATGCCGGAGCCCGACAGGACCCACACAGCCGAGCCTCGCGGGCAGAACCGTCCGCGGCCTCAGCATTGCTGCCGCGGCTCCGCCACCGCTCCCGGCCCCGCTGCCCTGGCCCCCACGGCCCCCATGGCTCCCGCAGCCCCCACGGCTCCCGCAGCCCCCACGGGTCCCGCTCCCATCGCTCCCGCAGTCCCCACGGGTCCCGCCGCCCCTCCCGGCGCCGCCGCCATCGCTCCCACCTCACGCGCGGCCGGGCGGAAAGGAAAGGGCGGGCCCGGACGCGGAATTACGTCACAGCCCCGCGAGCGCTTCCCGCGCGGCCGCGTGACGTCACGGCGGGCTGAGGCATGGCGCCCGGCCCGGCCCGGCCCTGCGGGGCGTGCGGGGCCCGCCCTCGTCCCCCCGGGCAGGGGCCGCACACCCGAGCGGGCCTCTCGGTGCCGCTCCGGACGGCAGGTGCCGCTCCCTCGGCAGGGGGGTGCGTCCAGGGGTGCCCGCTGTCCTGAGCGCTCTGGGATTGTGAGCAGAGCAGCCCGAGCCCTCACGGAAACCGAGAGAGCGTTCCGAGCTCCTCCCAGCGAGCACCAGGGCTCTGGAGGAGCTGGGTCTGAGAGGGGAGCCCCTCAATCTGTACAGATATCTCCAAGGGCTGGCAGAAAATGTTGCCTTTGTAGCGGTGCCAAGGAGAAATGGCCATAAACAAAAACCACAGAAAATCCCACCTGAACTTGAATAATTTTCCATTAGGGGTGGCAGATCACTGTTACAGCTGCCCAGGACATGGGCAGTCTGTCTCTGGTGACATTTCAATCCCACCTGCACACTCCTGTGTCACCTGCTCCAGGTGACCTGCCTCAGCAGCGGGGTCACAGGGGATGATCTCCAGACAGCCCTTCCAACACCCCCCATTCTCTTACTCCAAAACGAGACGTTTGGTTACAAACCAGGTACCAAAACAGGTTTTATTTCACAGCATCTTAATTTCACAGAAGAAAAAACAAACAAACAAAAAAAATACCTCAAACCAAAACCAACAGGCTACAACTGAGACTTTTAAATAATGGAATATGACAAAACTAGAAGAGTTTTTGTTTACAGGAAAATGTACAGGCTCTTCTCAAGAGAGTTCTCCGTGCTGAGCCACCCCAGCAGCACCTTCACAAAGCACCAGACCCTGCTTTGGTGTAAACCTTCAGAGCAAGAGGAGTTCGGCTGTGCAGACGTGAACAGCTCTGGCTCCGGCTCCGGGTCCCGCGCTGAGTTTGAGCACACACGGTACTGAGAGTGCTTTGCCACATGGTGGCAGCTTTTAGGTGAAAAGAGAGAGATTCCCGCACAGGAGGGCGAGCTGGGAAGGGCAAACCCGGCGGGGAGAGCAGGGGGAGCTGCGGGAGGATCCTGCAGGAGGGCTGGGCTGGCTGTCCCCTACAGCAGGGCTGGGCTGGCTGTCCCTGCATCATCCCTGGCTGTCCCTGCACCATCCCTGGCTGTCCCCGCACCATCCCTGGCTGTCCCTGCACCCATCCCTGGCTGTCCCTGCACCCATCCCTGGCTGTCCCTGCACCCATCCCTGGCTGTCCCCTGCATCATCCCTGGCTGTCCCTGCACCATCCCTGGCTGTCCCCTGCACACACACATGCTCCTGCACAAGCCCCAGGCTCTGGCAGCACCACCCCAAGCCCAAGCTCTGCCACACAAGGCTGGCACTGCCCTGCATCACCCCTGGCTTCCCAACTCGAGTGTGTGCCCAAGCCAAGGGCTACAATAACTATCAGACAACATTCAGCTTCCTGTAATTTAATGCTCCTTTATCCCAATTTGTTCTCCTGGAAGGAAACAAAAGCTTGCCGGTTTTATGACGTAAACCCACAGATTCTGGGAGTGTAATTACAGCCCAAATGGCCACCTGAACTAGACAAACTTCCACTGAATACAGACTGCAAAGTGTTGCAAACCAAAGTGCATTTTGTCCCTTGGATGGTGAGAAAGGAAAGTTAACTTTGTTACACAAAACTCTTTATACACTAAATAAAGAAGTTCCCAGAGAAAGACACGTTCAGATTTCATTCATACTAATCAAGCTGTTCTGTGAGAAATTTCATTGCTCTGTTGTACCTCTGGCCCCTCCACAATGCCTTGGGAAGTGGTGGACCACCTGAGCTGTCTGCACCACTGTTTGCTAATTGGAGGCTCATTACACACTAGATGTTTAGTACATCACTATTTCTGCATGCAAGGACAGTTATATTCAGTAGAAAGTTTAACTAGTAGGCAATTTTTTAAAACATTTTGGAAGATATCTGGCAAGCTTACTGTCTAAACTATTAGCTACATCTCACTTCTGGAGACTGCAAAGTCCTTCTGTGTTAAGAGAAATCACAAGCATATTAAATTTCACACAAATAATTTGAAGCTACATACAGCTGAACACAGTTACAAAAAGTTTGATAGTCACTGTAATTATTATATATGAAAAATACACTTTGAGCCCCACTCTGAGAGGAAGGGGCTCCAGTAAAGGTTGCTGCAATTCTAATGAAGCCAAATTAGCTTCAGACAAAACACAGCTGAAGAGCAAGGATTCAGCTTTGGTTTTGGCTACCACCAATATTTAATACAAGGAACAGGAATTTACATTACTTACATATTGGATAGCAAGTCCCTGACCTCAGCATGAGGTCTGGCAGTTTATGAGTCAAACCTCAATTACAACTTCCTCAGCTGGAATAACCAAGTATCAGTTTTGTTCCTTGCAAAGGGACCCAGTAACTTGTATCATAATATTGCTTCAGAAAATGAACCCATGAGCCAATACCACAGAAGGTTCCACGGATAATCAAGAATTCATTCCCAACCTGGATACTGTAAAAATAAAGGAAGGAATGAGCCAACAGGAAGAGAAGTTATTTGAGCTCTGTGTATGCACTAGAGAGCTGCTGGGCACCAGCCAGTAGTGGCTGCTCAGATGTGCAAGAAATGCCAGTTTTATGAGGACCATCACAGTGATGCAACGCTTGGAAGAACAGAGAGTAAAAAAAGTAGCATTTTAAATACCGAGCATGCTTTGTTTCATTGGCCTCAGTTGGCAGCAGTAACTCTACTGGCTTCATATTTGCTCAGATAAGACCATCTAAAATACAGTCAATCCTAAAAAAGGTGCTTATTTCAGGCTACAGAACAGAGAAACAAATAAAACCCCTAAATTACACATTTGACAGCAAATTGCTCTTAGTCAAGTGCTCATCTTCCACTCAAGAGTGAATCAGGACGGCAATCACTTCCCAGCTACCTCACTCAATGTGTGGTACTTCATGACAGGTTTTCAAACCAATTTTCCTTCTAAAGCAAAATGTATATTTTAAAGTTATTTATAGTAAATAAATTGAAATGGAGTAATTTCAGTCTTGCTACTTATAGATCATAGAATAGATGCCCTGTATATTATTAGTGCAGATATACTGGAATTGTTTTCCTTGTATGCAAGGCCAATGCAGGTAAAGAATAAATGGCTATACAAATTCAGGATTCCCCACTAAATAACAGAACTAACTTAAAAAGCACTGGTACCAGACCAGCCAGTTTTAGGCACATCTTTAAAAAAATAAAGTATGCATTTCATTAATGTAAAAATGTGAGAAGGTTCTTAGAAACATCTGAATTTTATGGTGCACTGGAATGGAAGTGATGTTCCTTCAGTTTCAAGGAATACAATAAAGGCTTAAAACAAAACAAAACAAAAGAACCAATACCATAGTATTCTTCATAGGGAAGAACAGTTTTAGTAAAACCAGGAAGATAAATAAGAATAATAAGCAGCCATGACAGCTGACTGGTGAATATTTGTGCTTTAAATGTCCAAAAGAAAACAAAAGTTCAGTAACTCTTCTCGTACCATGCCCCAGATTTGGCATCTGTGTCACAGACCTCGACAGTTCCCATCACCCTGCAGCCTTCCCAACGAGCTGGAGCCAGTGGCACCTCCACAGGCAGCATCCTGGGGTGGGATCCCAGCACAGCTGGATGCCAGCTGGGATGGAGCTTTGGTTAAGACTGTTGTGTGAGCCGTCTGTAGTGAGGTAAAACTTGGTTTTCAGGGAGATACAGAGCCAGTTCCAAAGCCACGAGGACAGTGAATTCGAAACCAATGAGATCCCTTCTGTTGAATCTGAATCTCTCTTCTAGTTTCTGTCACAGTGGTAACAAAACAAAACAAAGGAGGGGAGAAAGAATCAGTTAATCCAGGTGATTTCAAGGCATTGTTAGATTAAGTCTTTGATGCACAGCCTGAGCTTATTTTCAGAATCAAAACCAGCTTATCAGCTCAGCTGTGACACCCACACAACTGTTACTGCTTCTCTGGCAAACATATACAAGTGCAAAAATAACTTTACTGGAGGATCAGTAAGACACTAGCCTGCACCAGGCAGATAGTTTTAATGAATTAAAAAACAAAGCAAGGAAGAGCCCTAATGAGACATAAAACTGCCTGGAAGAGCTGATCTTCCATGCTAGCACGTGCCACTGAAAACCTTGCATTTAATCTCTGCCTGTGAGCTGGGGAGGAGGCTCTGACAGCAGCTGGAACAAGGCTCATAGCACTTACATCTATTAGGTGTTTCACTTCATGTTTCCTGAGGTCACTGCTGATCTTGGCTGCGAGCAGAACACAAGCACCAGCGCACAGTTTGCGGTTCTGTTTGTTGAGTTTGCCTTGGAGGACGAGCTTCTCAAAGTAAACGTAAGCCATGGAGACAGTCACGGGCTCCAGACTGCATTCCTCACTCAGGTTTCTCATCTCTCTCTTTAAACTGGGAATAGGAGAAAAGACACCCCCCCAGACATGACAGATTTTATTAAATGCTGTAGAAATACTGCAGCACAGCAGCTCAGAGGAGCATATGGGCAAGATTCCTATTTGGAAAACCACGACAAGTTCTGCTAGAGTGGAAAAGCCCAGCTGGTGCTGATGCACAAACTGATTTCACTCTTCCAAAACACTAATTCACCTGGCTGACAACATCCACTCTGGTAGAACAATTCCTCATGTGCCCATAACGACCAGAGCTTAGCTGCCTCACTGGCACACAGGCTATTGCTGTAGGATTTCTGGATTTCTTCTGGGCTCCCAAACTGCTTTGTGATTCATGTTGTAAGAGTGAAGCACTCTGACCTACAGAAAACCACAGCAGAGCCCTGCAATAACAGCAGCTGCTGCACAGAGACCTGTCGAGTAGACACCTTGTGTAAGAGCCAGGTGAGGGGAAGGCAGCCTGCTTGCCACACTCCCCACACAGCCAGCCCTTCAGCTCAGCATCCAGCAGGCTTGGAGGTGGATGGCTCCTCCCAGAGCTGCCATCCATACTGCAGCTGCATGTTCCCTGCAGGAACACACTGCTCTGAACTGCTGCAGAGGAGCATGCAGGACTCAGGCAGAACAGACTGCCCAAGCAAACCTTCCCCTGCAGCTGAGCTACACGTGGCCCTGGTGACTCAGCAGAATCAAGAAGTGTTCAAGCTGGCTATTTCAACAGGCTCTGATTGCATTAATCTCCCTGTAACACCAGCAAGATTACAGCTCTCTGAAGGTGCAACAATGCATCTTGGTGAGGAGCAACCAGATGCATTTACTCAAGGATGAGAAATTCTGTGTGGCCTCCACAAAAAGCTTTTTTTACCAAGTCTTTCCAGATCTAACACTCTTTATCCTACAATCTTGTTCAAGTCTGTGGTCATCACTGAGTCTGGTAATTGAAAGGCAAAAATAGCCAGCAGGCCCAGAAAGCCAATCCAGTTGGAGTGGGACTGCACTGCAGCCAAGCAATCAGGTTACAAGTGTTTGTTTCAAAGCTAATGCTACTCCACTGTTAATTGGCTCCTAGTGTTAGTACACCACAGTTGGTGAAACAAAACCCTTGAGGTGGAACTTTGAAAACCAACTGTTACCCTTTCTCAGCATCCTGAAGATTCCAGCACAGGGCTGTCATCCTACAAGTCAGCTCAACTGACAACAGGAGATTAGTGTTTAATCATATATGCTATTAATAGATTTAGTATTTGCTGCATACAAGTGCAGCCTCAGACAGTGTGGATGATGTCCTTGTTATTCAAGGCTTATTTCTTACCTCCTAATTTTGCTCAGTGTCAACTTGATATGAGGAAACTTCTCTCTAAAGGTTTCATTCATATCCTTTTTAAGGTCTGAGGGTTTCACATACTCTATGACTGTAGTCTGAAATGCAAGAAGCAAAATTTATCATTTGTCTTGTGAACAGGACTGACAGCCAACAACTCTTCCAAAAACACTAATGCAAACTTGAGTTTTATTATTCGCAATGTAACATTTCTGAAATATCCCAGAGTTGAATCCCAACTATAGACAAGACCTTTAAAAGAACAGTAAACAAATGGTTACAAGAAATAAATGACAACATGAAGACAGGTGTCAGGTTGGCTTTTGACAAACTCACTGTACAAACTCAACTGTTTGTATTTTTCCTAATCAATTATCAGAAAAACCACTTTTTCTTCCTAGAGGAATTTTTCTTCCTCAAAAAAACTTTTTACAGGAGGATCTGTCAAGGAATCTCTCCTCCTTCAGGTATGCCAGTCACTCACCATGTAGGAGGCAAAGATGAGAACACGTTTATGTTTTCCACAGGGCCACTGAGGATCATCCAGAAGATTTGGATCATACTCTGCAGCTTCTCCAGCTTCACTTCCTGAGGGAATGAGGAAAGCACATTGGGTCACCAGAAAAAGTGCTTTAAATTCCCTGTTTCCTCCTTAAGAAAAAGTTTTCAAATAGCAAACATTAAGTGTTGGCAGATCTCACAGTACAGGCAAATTGCAGCTACAGGCACATGCTTGCATTTCATAAATGCACCAGTCACAAATTAGAACAATTAAATAAACCACAACACATTAAACAAACTCTTTCTCCACCACACACACACCATGCCTGACACACCATTTTAGATTTAGTACAAACTGAGTTTGCATGTACAAATATACCCAGACAACAACTGCCAAAGACTGAATTATTTTGCCTGTACTCTAACAGACAGCAGAGTTGTTGTCAGGTTTGCTCTTTTACACAAGAGAAGGGATTCTTGGCACAAACTCTGGCTTGTTACTGTGCTAGAAGGCAAGAAGAACCACCTGGGTCTATGTACACCAGATGTTTCTTGGTGATAAATATAAAACTTTACATTCCCAAGGAAAAGCTTTGTGCATCTTGAATGGCATAAACAGAACTAGGCCAGATATATGGAGGATGTAAGGAGTTTGTGGAAGCCTCAGTGCTAAGGCTCATTATTTGCACTGCACTAACGAGCTGCAGCACCTCCATCCCAACAACACACCGAGCACCTGCAGTTGTCTCAGACAAATCTCTGCCTTTTCTGCTGCGTGCACCAGTGATGACAGAGCTGGCTGCTGTCCTTACCAATGTCTGTCCCTGCTGGTATTGTTTTTGCTGTCACAGGTTTGTATCTTGATCCAGGAAGACTCCGGGGAGCACTGGCTCGACAGGGGGGAGCAGCACCGTAGGCGTCGGCTTTGCGAACAACCAGAGCGTTGGTCGGGTACAAGAATTTTGCATAGGACACAACCTGAAAGAAGAGAAAGTTGTAGTGGTTATGGGGGGAAATTTATTGAAAAGCTTACTTCCAGACACCTAGGATTTTCCAAATGAGAGTCCCCTAGAGTCTAGATTTGGGAGTGGGGAGCTTGGAACTCTTAGACAGGAGGAAGGGAAAAGTTGGATGAGGAGTGCCTTGTTTCCACAATTTTAAAATGAAGTGGTGTAGAAGATTTGGTGGGATGGCAAGGAAAAGGCAAGAATCACGACTAAAATTCTGGCATTATAAATTTAACTAAAACAGCATGAATTTCATCCATATTTCTATCAAACTTCACTCACATGTTGCCTCAGAGAGCAAAGCCAACTCAATTCTCCAGAAACAGAGGCAGAAGTGATCACAAGCTTCATCAGCCTCTTCAGAAGAAGCATTGTTGCAAGCCACAATTTCAAACTATGGGTCTAAAGCTTCCACTGCTCTGAAAAGCCACAGCTCTCACATAATGGACAGCAAAGCACTTCATAAATTGATTTGTCCCAGCATGAAATGGTCCTGGGATGAAAAAATAAATGTCCTTACCTTGCCATCAGCACCCAGCTCTACTCCTTCCAGTCCAAGCACCATCTCAGTAGATACTGAAACTCCCCCAGAAGGATGTCGCTGTTTCTGTCCCTCCATTTTCAGATCACTAAATGCAGGTAAGAAAGAGCACTATTACACAAAATGCAAGCCCAGCTTCCCACGGTAAACACCAGCCAACACCACCAGGTCAGAGCTCTCCTGCGTGGAAACAAGCCAACCCCTCAATGCCACCTCCAGGAGAGCATTAGTTTTTAATTACTCTTTTCAAAAAGTGGAGATGTTCATTAACCAAAGAATCAGATTTCATTTCAGTATAACACAAATCTACCAATCTACCTATTAAAGGTAAATTGTTTTTAATATGATCTTTCTGCACAAGACCATTCCCAACCCTCTAATGCTCAAACACATAACAGCAAACTTGATTTACATTACTTGTTTCCCAGGATCAGAAACCTGCCTTTCAAGAGCAAATTTGCAACCCCTGTGCACACAAGCTCAAGTTCAGAATGAAGCTGCAGATCTCTGTGTCAGCGATGGCAGCACGTGGCTTTGTCACCAATATTCCAATACAAAATCCAGTTTTCAAGTGAAGAACTGCCTTGCCAGCTTGCAAGCAGAACAGCACAGTGCTCAGAACTGCTCTGAAATAGCTCCAGTGACCTTGCTGCTTTTCTATTATGTGGGAGAATATTTTCCCATCAACTATTTTTATGGCATGTATTTGCATACAATACAATTCCCACCACTAAGCATCCGTTTCCTTTGTCCATAAGTTACGGACAGGACAGAAGTGACAACACAATTGCTTTGCCAGAACAGAATTAGTGTTTTGTATGGTATATTTGTGGATAACAAACCTTCACAGAATGGACTTAAACTTCACAAGGGACTGAAGAAAGACGCAGGGAAATCCAGTTTGCGAGTTTTGTTTCTCATAAATGAAAACAAAAGCTGTAAACAAAAATGTAGCCCAAACAGTTTGTAAAAGCAGTGTGAATCAGTCCAAGCTGTTTCTGCTGTTCTTAGGTTGCAAATAGTGATATTCATGGTTTAAAACAGAAACAAAAGAGTGTCTGTAACTTATTTAGGTGTAAATTCACTATAAAACCTTAAGAATTTCCACTGAAGGCAACAGCACCCTTCCCTGACACTCCCTGTGCTGTTTTGCTGATATCAATGTTTGTGGCTCTAAAGACAGTTGATTTCTGACCACTTTAGGAGTATAGAAAACCTACACAGCAGCAATCACATTATCTGTTCAAAGCTGATTTCAGAGATTTCACAGGACTGGAGCTCTTTAAAATGTGAATAAACACTGGAAGAAAAGTCTGCTTTTTCCAGTATTTTTCTCTTGGAATTGGAATGAACACTGTTACTGTGGCAGTATCTGGTTTTACTGCTCTGACAGCAAGCTCTTGTCCTTACACATGAATGGCAGGTTAAATAGGCTCACTCGCTTCAGGACAGGAGACCTACACCAAGCACACTCATTCCAGGAGATCTTTTGAAACAGCAGAGCAGACATCTCACAGAGCAGAGGCTCACCTGATCCGCAGCCCCTCGCCGTAAGGCAGGATAGAAAACGCCACACACAGGGTTCGTTTAGCACAGATCAACACTATCCTGCAAGCAGATGGGGAAAGATCAGGATATGAAGTAAGATCCAGAAGTTACAAAGCAGCTTTTTGTGGGATATTAACACAAGGCTCTTATCTTGCTCTGCAAGTCATAGGTACTGCTATGGATTAAACATTTTCAGAAAGCAGCAGAAGAGCAGAGGTTTAACACTGACCCTGCAGGTCCTTGGGGCTCTCTATCAAACCTCAGTGTTCAGGACCTGCCATCACCTTGGGAGCTCCTCAAAGGAGATCCCAGTCCTTACACATATATCTATATTTATGTAATTTTTACATAAACATTGTGAAAAGATGTAGATAATATTCTACATTTAGATGAAACCTCACACTTCTATTAATAATAAACATAAATGCAGCCTCCCTTTGTCTTCTGTTCAGCAACCATGAGCCAAGAATTTGGCTAAAGCAAGCCATTCTCCTTAATGGCTTCTCCATTTCTCCTCCATTCTCAGCTCTGACCTGTGCCAGAGATAAGGAAAGTGAGAGAAATAAGAAAAGTGAGAGAAGAGAGAATGATTTAACCTCCTCAGAGTAGGCTGGCAGAATCATCAGTGTATTGCTGCAAATGTAGCAGATATGAGCACCTACCACCTTTGACAGAAGTCTGGATAAAGCTAACAAGGCCCCAGGGGCATCCTCTAATTCTCACTGATATTAAATGTCTTTCTGCATGGAACTGGAGGCTGCTTCCTACTGCACACAAGTACAGGGGGAACCTCAAACTCCACATGTTACCTGCTGTTCTTGGTGTCATACTGCCTCATGTTCTTGATGAAGTGCATCTTCTTCAAGCTTTTGTGTCTTGGAGACCCAGATATGTGCTTGGTTCTGCAATGATAAAAAGAAAAACAAACAAAAAAGCCAAATCTGTTAAGCGTTCTGAGAAAAATTCATGCCAGTTGTATGATCAGATGGCAGCAGTAGCATGCAGGACCTCAGATATTGGCGTGGAAGAGGGTGGAGGGAGGAGAGGACTGCATGCAACGAGCTGAGGTTAATGCTGCTTTTGAAAACAAGTACCTTCGTACACTGGCATATTCCACTATGTCTTCTAAAAAGTCTAGAGAGCAGCGCTGGGAGATAAAACGCCTTCTGCAAAATGCACAACACCACGAAGAGTGAACAGCATTAGTTCATGGCCTCTGAGTTTATGAACTGCAACAGATCTATGAGCTCTTAGGATGCATGGCAGGTTTTCTGGATTTTTGTTTTGTTGCAAGAGTGCTTAACTAAGAGTTTAAAATTCCTTAAAAGGCCAAGAACTTGTCTCCCCCTCTAGGACTCCTGAAATACATATTTATACCAACTTCATCAACAAGACCATTCATCATCTGCCACACAGAAGAATGCCTACCTCTAAGTTAAACACCTAAAAAGCTTCCAAATACTCATTTAAAGTCTGGCAAGAATGTTACAAAAAGACCCCACCATCAAGGGAGGGGAATAAATAATTTTCTATCAATTTAAGCTCAGATCCAGCTACATCTGTATGATGACCAAACATCTGTGTGCATTCTCCATTCAGAACAGCTGTCTCCAGCTCCAGGAGTCAGCAGACTGAGAGTCTGTGACTGCAGCTCAATAAAACTGACAGATCTCTCTGAGAAACAATAGAGAGGGTTATTAGAGGAAGCAAAAAGTATTTGGCATCCATGTGAAGTCCCAGAATGGAAGATGCAAGAATAATAGTAGGGCTCACGTGAGTTAGTGTAACAGCAATAGGATATTACGTTCAAGCAAAAAAAAATAGACTTTGCCAAAGTAAGACGAATTACTATTGTCCAAGTCAAGTCTTTCTTTGCTGCTAGAGATTTACAAATGAATTGTGCAACTTTGACTGCCATTTCTACAGGAACAATGCACTCCACCAGCAAAAGCTGACACTACAACTATCAGAGTCCATATTTTCTGCCTTTGTTTGAGCATGCATTATGCTACACTTTTAGCACAAGCCATGTGTGTTCAGCTCCAAGGTTTTCTTCCCAAGTGAGACAGAAACTCAAGTAATGGGCAGCACTGCCATGGAAGTCAGTGTAGAAGCAGCACACAAGACAGAAGTTGGAGGACTCTGGTTTGACAAGACCAGCTTCTGGCAAAAAAAAAATAAAAAAAATCAAAGCTGCAGCAGAGCAGACTCTCAGCTGCACTGTTCAGGCACTCTCATAAGGAAGTAAAGATCAGAACTCAACCAGGTAGGAGGATGAAAAATTAGTGTCCTTTCTGCAAACACAAGGGAGGCAAACACTCCCACAGGACTAACACCTTCAGTATTGCTAGAGACTGCCTCCTACAAATCCACTGCCATTAAGGTGCAACTGGAGAACATTCCTGGCACAACTTCAACACCCTCCACCAGCACTTCAATTTTAAAATTATTACTGGTTTGCTGCTTTTCAGACAGAATGGCACAGGAATGTTTAACACTTTCACATTTACATGGCTCTCCAGTCTAATCTAGCATCTAAAATTCAATAAAAAACCCTTCATGAAATGAGGAAGTTACTGCAAACCTCCTGGCTCTGATGCAGTTGGTAACATTCACAATCTTCCTTCCCTCCCAGGGGAGACCTGGCTGGATGGAGACAGAAAGACGCCGTGTATGGCAAGCAGAGGGAAAACACAGCTAATGCCAGTGGGCACGGGTACAAAAAAAGCACATAGTTCTGTTAAAGGATGCTTGGTGTGAGCAACAGGATGGACTGGGAGAGCCATGGCTACATCCTCACTCCTAACTCCACGGTGGAGACTCAGCCAGGGTGTTACACCTTCTGAATACCCCCTTGTTTTCTCAGTAACAGGGACAAGAGTGCAAACACCTGAACCGAGAGCAGATCTGGAAGTAAAACCCTGCTGCAGCGAAGGGAAGATCCCACCCCTTGACTCAGAACCACAATGACTCATCCCCACTCTGCCAACAGGAAACTTCATTTTTAGCTACACTTGTAAATAATTTCTGCCCTCAGCGAAGCTGTCACCTTGGAGGAATCCCTGATGCTGAGCCAGACACTCTCCCTCAAATCCCAAAAGGGGGTGTATGTAAAGAATTCTCAGTAACCCAAAGTACTTGAAACAATTTCTAGGCCCAATCCAAAACTTTCCAGCAACACAGCACCCTCAATATGTTCTGAGAATCACTAGTGCAGTACTTGGAGAATGCACCAAAATTTGACAGTTTTTGAGCAGTCTGCACTTATAAATATGCACACACAGAGATATTTGCTTTAGTTTGCGTGCTCTTCTCATGCAGCCAACTCACACTTGCACAACAGGCTGCACTGGGTCACTCCAGTGACTGCTAACTTGGATGACAAAAAAATGTCAAGTCACCTATGCTGTGCTAAGCAGCTTCACCCAGGATAACACTTCTTGCTTGGGTCCGTGGAATTCAAAGGATTTTAAATGGTTTCCATAGTGTGTTTGTTGCTGAAAGCAACCTAAATACTAAGAATACCAACACCTCTACATGTGCTATGTTATGCAGCCTTACCCACGTGTGACTTGGCAATTTGAAACTGAAATACCCAATATTAAAATGTTCATGGGTTCCATGGAGCAGGCTGTAATTCCAACAGAAAATCCAAACATGGCTGCTTGCCAGCACCAGCCATTGCTGTGACAAGCTATAGAGGGTTTGGGTGCTTGCATGTCCCTGACCAGGAGCTCATTTTTGGGTGCTTCCCAGCCTTTTATTTCAGGAGCCAATAAAGCCAAAGCAGTACACTTCCAAACCATTAAAAACAGCAACTGTGTTTACAGAACCAGAACCTCGAGGGGACTGATCAAGAGCAAAAACACACAGAGCCCATGCCCAGAGATAAGGGGCTATCAAGTAGAGGAATTCTGGATTACGCCGTGGCTCCTTATCTCCCTGTGCACACCCAGGCTCACACAATCCAACACTGCTGCCAAATCCCTGACCAGCTGAACACGCACTTTAAAAAGCCCAGAAAAACCCAACAAATTATCTTCAGAGCTACATTTTGACTCCTGCCCAGCAAAGCAGCATTTTATTCTTCCTGATGGATCTCCCACTGAGGAAACTCAATGTTTAAGTGCTTCCAGCTTCAGAGCTGTCCTGGTCCTGCCAGGGTCCCACACTGGACACTGGGGAAGCAGCAGGGGGATCCCCAGCCCCGAGGGTGACACAGCTCTTCAGTGTGGCCAGCAGGACAGGACACAGCTAAGAGCAATCTATGAATAGCAAGGGTAATCCCTACATGTCCTGTCTTATGAATGCAAAGAAGAAAGCTTGCTAAGTCACAGCTCCAGATTAGACAACACTGACCTTTCTGCTGCCTTGCCAAGAGTTTTCTCCCTCCTCCCACCTGCACTGGGCTACCTGCAGACACCCAGGAGGACAAGGACAAAGCTTTGGGATGTTGCTGCAGTTGGAAGTGTGCAGTTGTTTAGCAGGTACTGAATGCAAGAGATGGTGGCCCTGTGCTGTCAGATGTGGCTTCAGGCACAGACCAGCCTTGTCCACCCCTGTTCCTGGGCCACTGACAGTCCTCTAAGGCACTCCCTTGGGCACCCATGGCCCCACTCTGCACTCTCAGATTCTGCAACAAACAGCACAAATCTCATTTTAACCCCATAAAGCTAGGCCTTATCACCCAGTACTGGGCCTGACAGTGGACAGTGGTGCTGCTGACATTTGGCCACTTGGAAGCTCCTCTGTTTTGCTCTTCTGGTTCCTGCATTTCTGCCACAGCAGGTGAACTGACCAGCTGGCCTCCTGAAGGGTGAAACTGAAAGCTTCTAAAATCTCAAGTGTTTCTCCCATTTTCTGATTAATCCCCATCCCTCTCAGGTACAGGGCGGCACTCTGAGCCCACCACACAGCCAGAGTTCAACCAACATTCAGATGTTTCCACCCAAGTTCATCTTATGCTGTGATCTCTTGTTCTCAGCACCTCCAGGATCACCAAGCCCAGCAATAGGAGCATTCAAAGATGCTGCCAAGGCTCTCCCTCCTCCAAGAGGCCCAGCAGTGTGGATTTGTTTCTATTGGAGCTGCATCCATGGCCCTGCAGATGCTGCATGCACACACAGGCACACACCCCAGGCACTGGGCTAAAATTAGCAGCAGGGCTGATACCCTCTGCTGCTCTTTAGCCATCCGTACTGCCAATAGATGAGTGCAATGGGGGAGGTCAGGGATTTTTAATTACTGTGTAAAATTAGGGCCTAATAGAATTTGGTTTCCTATTTCTCACTTGAGTTTTATTTTAATATGATGTCCCTTTCTAATGTCCTTTACAGGCCTCAGTAGGATCACATTTGTCAAGAGGCTGAGTCATTAATACAACAAGGACAAAAAATCATTTACTGGTTTTTGGAAGCACTAGCTTAAAAACAACTGTCAAAGGTAATTTGCACAAGAAATCCAGATCCCAAATCCTGTTTACAACAGGAATACATACCTGTCAGCTTTGTTTTGCCAAGACATATTTTAAACATTAAGCTGTATTGTTTTCATTCCTTAAGGCAAGACAACAAACAGATATGAACTGTGCTTGGGCTTCACTAGGTAAAATACAGGCATTGGAGGATTAAGAAAGCTACTTCCTGTATTTAAGCTCACTTTTTAGCAGCTGCCATTTCTCCTGCAGCCCAGGAGATATTCAGAGATTTCAGAGTGTGTGAGTGGGAGCATCCCTGCTCTGCTATCAGTGCCCTGTGCCTCACCACCCTCGGCGCTCACACTAATGAGTTTCCTGCTCAAAAGCAGATTGAGTACAGCTCACTGGTAGCAACAAGTTATCAGTAATTAAAGCCAAAAGAAGCCCGAGACTGCATTTACACTGAATCACATCAAAACCATGTCTTTGGTAAAACAAATGACTTCACAAAGGATCTGTGTCATGAAGAGCCCAGCACCGAGCAGGCCATTTTCATGGGTGGATGATTTCAGCTCAGATGTTCCTTGAGAGGCAGAGAAGAAAGACACTTTGCATCACCAACAGTAAGAGTACAGCTCAGTGCTCCTCCTTCACAAAGTCGGCTCTCACTGTTTTATGGCACCACAAACATGCATTTGGATTGCAGGCCCCATCCCAGGAGCATTCTGACATTTAAGTACCAGCCTGCCAGAGGATAAATATGAGTCTCACAGCAGGGCTAGTTTAGCTTATTCATCAAGTAATCTTCATTTTAAAGGGTAAACTGAAATCAGCCACATGAGTATGAAAGATACTTTTAGGCTACAGAGCAGGTCCCTCTGTGAGAGCCCAGGATGAAGGAGGAGGCCTAATTCCTTCAGCTTTGTGCTCCTACTCAAGGTTTGCCTGCAAAATTGAAAGGGCACCAGGGGCTTTCCTGCTGGTCCCAAACAGCCAGGAGAAAATCCTGCACTCCTCCACCAGCACAGCCACGTGCAAGGGAAGAATGTGTCACACAGCGTGTGGAACAGATGAGAAGGAAGAGAAATGAAGTATAATTTGAATGAAGGTGGAGGCCGAGTAAGTGGGAAGCTCACTAAGCCTGGAGAGTTTTAAATACTAACAAGGAAAGAAATTAGATAATCTTCACAGCAGCTGCTACTTCATTGCTGATTCACAACCACATATGATTAAGGCCTAATAGAGAATGAGCTTTATATTCATTGAGTTTCATAAATCACATTGTTTTGGTGCTCAGAGTGTTTAGACAATGCAAGGAGAAAATAATGCCTTCCAGTAAGTATTGTGAAAGCCCAGCTGTTGCAACAGAACCACCAAACCAGATGTGAAGTTTGCTGTGCCCACGGCCCTCTCCTAAAGCTCACTCCTAAAAATCCCTTCTACTTCTCACAAGGCAGGCTAGATGTGCTGGCCAGAATACCACCAGCATTTCTCCAATTTTCTCCCAGTTTCTGGAAGTGTTCATAGCTCACCAACCTGGCTGCCCCCTGGGCTTTGTGCTCTGCTTACTCAGCACTGAACTGCTGACCAAAACAGGCACGTGAAATGCAAAGTGTGTCCTTGATGACACTGTGGGCATTATGCTAGAAATATTCATGCACTTCACTGAGAGATGATGCTGTCATTTCATCATGTGCCTTGCTAAATAAAAGCCTTCAGCACAATAAACTCCCAAGCTGAAAAAAAAAAAGGAAGATTAAAAAAAAGAGAAAGAGATGCTCTTAACTGGGAAGGAGAAAATTAAAATTGGTGACTGGAGGAAACCAAATCAAAGCAAGCTCAGAGAGGTCCCACAGTGTTTATATGGGCACCTGTTTTTTCCCATTTCATCAGCCATCCCCTTCAATGCACAGTCAAGAGGTTGCAGCTTTACTAGGGCAAAATTTTATGCTTAAATTGCAGCAGCCACAACAGAGCAAGTGCAAATCTGTCCCTGCTGCTGAGCAAGAAGCCCTGACCTGCAGCAGTTCAGCCCATGCTGTGGGGACTCCAAAATGAACCAGCTAGGCAGCTCTGAGGCAGGTGTGCACTTGGGTACCACCACCTGAGCAAGAGCTGGCACAGGAGGAGCATTCCCTGGAGAAGAGCTCCAGGATCACAGCCTCAGCAGCAGGGTCAGCCGGCAGCAAGCTTTGAGTTCTAAGGGCTTGGTATGTCTTGTGAAACAGAGAGCCAGCTGAAGGTTCTTCCTTTAACACCTTTCCAGGGAATAGGTAAATTCCTCTTACAGCAGGTTACAGCAATTCCAGGTGAATTCCAATCACAGTTGGTTAAATACACAACAGCTGTAAACCAAAGGTCAGGAGTCTGGGGCTCTGTCTGAAGAACTGGGTTGACTGAGTGGCTTTAGCTGAGCACCCTCCAACTGCAGTCATCTGCTTTATCAACAGTACCTTGTGCTCATTAAAGAGCCTAAATTTCATTGTGCATTTTTAAAACTCCAACTACAGAGCCAGACACCTTCAGAACAACCTTCAAAAGAAGGCTCAAAAATATCTTCAAGCTCGCTCAGCCTGACAGCCGCAGAGCTTTAACTGGTTGACAGATGGAAAACAGGAGAACACAGTATTTAATATACTATATATCTAATATACTATATATAACTAAATAATTACTTTTAATATACTATACTGTAACACTCCTACAGGACTTCCTCACTGGAGGTCTGAATGGGATTCCCAAAATTAAGCTATTCTGGTTTTTATATTTAATTTGGTAGTTTTCATTCTCTGATGATGAGTCCTTGAAGCAAGACAACATCATACTGACCACCCTCATCACCTCCTGCAGAAAGGAGCTTTGAGCTGGAATCCCAAAACCTGCAGCATCCCAAAACCCACTGCCAGGCCTCCTGCATCACTCTGAAAAGCTGCAGAATCCATCCACAAGTAAAATCAGCTGCAAGTGCAGTTAATTGTGCACAGACTACTCCTGCCTGGAGAGCAAAGATACTTTAAAGCCTCTGGACTGTCTAAATTGAAGAGGTCAAATAACCTCGGTGTTGGAAGTGTCACAGATTGCCTGACCCAGACCCATTCACAGGAGTGCACAGGATACAAGGACTTGCATGTTCTGATCTCCAAGCTTCCTGCTAGGCATACAACTCCCTTCTGCTTAATAAACCTGGCTGGGAATGTCCACAGGCAGCTATAAAACACTCAATACTGGACACATGTAATTCACCTGCAGTCAAGAATATGAGAGAAATCTGCTGAAGCAACCTGGGGAGGAGACTGCAGCCTTAACTTTTCAGCTGACTTTTAAATGAAGTTCAGGCTTAGAATATGCTCATTTTCAGCCTCGAGCAGCATATCCCAGTCTGCTGTTCACCTCTGAAAGGTCAAAGCTTGTCATCTTTGACAGAGCTCACTGCTTCCTGAAAAGCACCATGTGCCCAGCTTATTCCAAATTAGGTTCAAAATTTAGACTACAACTTTTTATTTCATCCATCTCAACAACATCTGTTTATTAGCAAAAGGGTTTTTATAAAAATATTTATATTCCTTTAAGTGACAACAGCAGCTAAGCTGACAGTAGGATAAAACAACATATTAACCACCATAAGTAAAAAATCCTGACAAAGCATTTCTGCTGTTCCACCCACAGAACTAATCTGATCACACCTATGTCAGCAATCTGGCATCCAATTAACACTCAAAAGCAGAGTAGGTCCAGAGTGTTGCTGTTATCAACTACTGTTTAAACTCCCACTTTCAAAATGACCTAAATTTGCTGATAAATCAGAAATGACTGAGCTATCACAAACACTCAGTTCAGCTCCCTGACCACTGAACTCCAAGGACATTAAAGCATCAGTCACAAATAATTTAGTCTCTGTGTTTATTCTTAGGCCCAGAAAAATGCAGCAAATTATGGCAAAACCAGCTGCTTTTACATTACACTATAATGAAACCTCAGAAGCACAACAAGCATTGACATCCAGGGCTGTTGTTTCCATTTTTCATGCTTTCATAACCTGGCTATTTCCAGGGCTCTCTGCTATCTGTGTTTCCTCAGAAAGCTCTGCCAGTTTCAGACCCAGCTGCAGAAATTCATTAAAAATCTGTGAATGCCGATTTGTTCCCTGTTTGCTGCCTCCCTGCACTGCCTTCTGTGAGGCTCGTTCTTTGAAAGAACAAAAGAACAGAGCAAGATGGAAAAGGAGAAGGGAAGAGGGATGGCAAGCAGATCAGGCAAGCTGGTATAACACAGCATTGTAACTTAAGATCCTGTAAACAGAAGATTCCTTAGGAAAATGCAAGTGGAAGGTTAAAGTCATTCCGTTTGTAACGCTCAGCCAGCAGCACAATGAAACCGAGCACCCAGGTTTGAATGGTGCCTCCTCTGCTGAGTTTCCATCCTAAAGGACCTGAGAGCTATGGAGGAACTCCAGGCTAGTCTGAAGGTGTCTCCTTCCCTGGGCTGTACTGCAGATCCTGCTGTACCAATAACCAACCCCCAACTGGAGCAGAGGTGCTGGCACACCCTGCCCTGAGCCACGCTGGCCGCTCTCATCAGCTTCTTGCAACCTCTCAATCAAGTCAAACAAGGTCAAGTTTTGTAATAAAGCTCTGCCCAATGATACTGTCAGTAGATAGAGATGCTGATAGGAGATGGAGATCTCCATGGATCGGGGCAAGCCCCAGCAGGATGAAATTCCCAGATATGGCACAAGACTGGTCACTGAACACAGGCAGAGCGAGTCTGGAGACCCTGCAGACAGTGATCCTCATGCATCTGAGGAAAATTCAAAGCAGCTCTTGACAGGGACTCAAAAAGGACTTGGAAGAGAACAGCTGCCCAAAGTGGATACCAAGGATGAAAAGTCCAGGATGGCAGTGCACATTCCACTTTCCCCTTCCCTCCAGCAATTTCACTTGCCTGTACCTCTGTATGATGCATTCATGATCTGGAATAGCAACATCGCTGTATGGCAAAACAATTCTCAGATTCCCAAGTCTTAATAAAAGAAGATCCATTTTGTAATTGCTGACTTTGGAATCTTAGTTTGCAAACAGCTCACCCAACATGAAGGGGACGGAGTAAAAGCAGCACTGTCCTAAAGGACATTCCTCCTGCAATTCCCTGAATTATTCCTCATGTATTTACAACAACAAGAGATGCCTCTGCTCAGTGGGGATGGGAGATATTCTGTCACAGACATGAAACTGCCCAGTGAAACATAAGGTGGTAAGTCACTCACCCTGTGAGTTGACAGTGAAATTGTCATTACAGAGGGATGGTCCATTTCAGCCACTCCTGTGCCCAGTGTGACTGGGATGAGGCACACTGGCTCTAACACATCTCCATAGGCAGCACAAAACTTCCTTTTGTCAGAAGACGTGTGTGTCCATGTGAAGATGTAAATCTCCCTTTTGATGGTTTCAGCAGATGCCCTTTTTCTTTCAAGATGAAAACCAGATGAACTCCCACTCCAAATCACCCTCAAAAGTAGTATGCAAACTGATCAATACAATATATCCAGCCAGATCTTCCATTCTTTATTTTGTCATTACTCAGACAGAAGCCTTTTGATTCCCTTGATTGCCTCTTGCACTTCTCTCTACCTTTTCTTTCTGATTCATCATTCTTTTCAGCCAGATTGATTAGAATTACTCTAGTGGAACAGCTCAAACCTGATGCCAAAGAAAGAGGCAGGAATGATATCAAATGGGAAGATCTTAGGAATATTTTCTTAGTGACTTGTCATGGGAAGGGGAAGGATCATCTCTCCAGAACTCTGCATGCACAGGCACAACGAAAGCCACATCCACAAAGGCAACTATGCTTTGAAACTCTTGATACAAAACTTGCCCTCAAGAGCTTCGCCTACAATATAAAAGCAATGAAATTAAACCACACAGCACCTCCTGTGCTGGCTTTTGTGGACCAGGAGTGCCGGGTAGGAACTGTTCCACAGCAACACCCTCACTCCAGGCTTTCCTGCTCAACAAGCGGCACACAACTGCACAATACAGGGCACCCAGCTGGCAGCCACAGCTCCCATTTCTCCAACAAACAAGGAGGGAAAGGGCCCTTCCATGACAAGAAAAGCAATAACATTTCAAGAGGAAAACACCCCAGGAGGGACAGTGCATGAGGATCCCCTCACATTACTGACAAACAGCTACTTCTCTTCAAATTCATCTGAACCCCCAAGCTGGGATACACAGGACATCTCCACTGCGAGATGCACACTGAAAAGGGATACCCATCAACTGCATTAGCAAACTCTCCAGCTTTAAAGCACCGACAACATCTCTATTTCAGCTCACTGACAAAGCTCTTGAAGCTACTGTAAAGACCACAGAGACTTAAAGCCTTTGATACTGCTGCCTATCTGCAGGCTCAGAGGGCCAGCTCACTTTACAGAGCTGTTTATGCAAGAAACGGCCTGAAAAGAGTTCTTTCAGAGCTCAAATCCCCAAGATCTGAGCAAGAGCCTGCCTTCCAGTCGATTGGAAAAGCAACATTTTCAGCCTGACAGAAGTCCCTTGGAAATGCAATGGTAATCCTGCTCTGAAGGCCAGAGCATCCTCCCCCGAGGCTGACTCCAAGTCCCCTGTGCACAAGCATTCATTAATACACAGTTGCAGAGACAAGCAGCACAAGAGCAGGAGAAGGCACGACACCAGCAGCGGAGGAAGCGCTCTGCCTAACAGAGACCCTGCCAGCTCCATCTGGAAACAGAGAAACGCAGAAACCGGGCTGGGGAAAAGCAGAAGGCAGGGTTCAGGGTACCGCAGACCTGCAGCCAGAGCCTCAGCGAGAGATCCCCTCCGCAGATCCCCCTCATCCGCCGCTGCGCCGCGCGGGGCATCCTCCGCGTCCCCGGGCCCGAGCGGCGTTGCCGAGGCGGCGGCAGGGCGGGCCGGCAGCGCTCCCGGGCCGGGCCGCCGGGGCAGGTGCTTCCTCCCGGGGCTACAGCGGGGCCGGCGCCGCCTCCCGCGGCCGCTGTCCCCGGGGGCGCCCGTTTCCCATGGCCCGCTCCCCTCCCGGAGCCGCCGGCCGGCCGAGGGCCCTGGGAAAGTCCGGCTCTTCCCAGGCCCGCGGGGGGTCCCGGCGCTTCCCACGGCCCGCGGGTCAGCGCGGCGGGGGCGGCGGGTGTGGGCTGGCCCGGCGAGCCCCGGCCCCTCACTCACCTCTGCCGCTGCGCCTCCAGAGCGAAGCCGCCGCCCGCCGCGCTCTGCGTGGGGCTCAGCAGCCCCGGGGCGCCCGGCTTGGGGGCCGCCAGCATCCCCGGCAGGGCGGGCGGCGCCGGGGGCGGCGGGCACAGCGGGCCGCCCAGCAGCAGCTGCGGCAGGAAGATGCCCCCGCGGGCGGGGTCCGCATCCCCCTTGGCTCCGGCGGCGGCGAGCGCGGGCACGCCGGGCAGGAGCAGGGCGGGCGGCGGCTGGCATACGGGCTGCGGGGGCAGCAGGCGCGGGGGGGCTCCGGCCGGCTCCGCCGCCGCCTCTTCCCCGTCGCCCGGGCCGGCGGGCAGCGGCGGCTTCTCGGCGGGCGGGCAGGGCGGCCGCCCGTCCAGGGAGATGTTGTTGAGGAAGAAGAGGGCGGCCTGCCGCCGCCGGGAGTCGCCCCGCTTGCGCGGCGGCGGCTGCTCGCGGGGCGGGCGGGGAGGCGGGGAGCCGCACGCCGTGGCCGCAGCCATTCTCCGAATGAGCCGCGGCCGCCCGGGCGGGGCGGCTGGAACGCAGCGCGGCCGGCGGCTCGCGCGCCCATTGGCTGCGTCGCGCCGGAATGCAAATGAGCCCGGCGGCGGCCCCGCGGCCACCCGGCCCGGCGCCCCCGACCCTGCCCGGCCTCTCCCTTTCCTCGCTCCGCGGCTTCCCTGCCGCAGCCACGAGCCCACCGTGCCCCCATGCAATCCCCCCTTGTGTCCCCGCACGGCCACCCACCGTGTCCCTTTGTGCTACTTTCAAAAAACTTCTGCGCTCGTGTCCCCACCCAGGCATCAGCAGCGCCGCTGGCCGCCTGTTCCCAGGAGGTCCTGACCTTCCTGCAGGACACATCTGCTGGACCCATCGCGGGCGCTGAGCGCGCCAAGCGCTGCTGTCGGAGCGGGTGAAGATGCTCTTGCTCGGTCCCAGCGGGCTCGGAGCCCAGCCCCAGGCTGGCCGGGCTGAGGCGGACCCCAGCCCGCCGGCCCCGGGCGCAGACCCCGACTCACCCCCAGGCAGCCCCCAGGGCCGGGCGGAGCGATGGATCCGCGCTCTTCCAGCTCCTGAGGCAAAGCCAAGGCAGTGCTGATGCTGGGCCGTATATGGGCAAGGCAGAGCCGGGGCTGGGAGGACATAAACTCGGTATTTATCTCCGCAAAGTGACTCAAGGCATCTCTGCGCCACACGTTGCTTCCCGGACTGGTGTGTTTGTGCTGCGCGGGATAAACATTCCCCTCCGGCACTCGAACCACGTCTGTCACATCCCGGGATGATGCTCTGCCCTTGCCTTTCCTCGGGGGACGGTGATGTGCGCTGGCAATGTCCGTGCCGCTGGAAGGGGATGTTTGGGAGCTGTGCTGGGCGCGATGGAGCCTCCGGAGCTGAGAACAGCAGTGTGTGGGTGCTGGTGGCCTCTGTGTTCCTCCGAAACCGAAATGAAGTCTTCCCATGCTTCCCACCTCTCATGCCCTGAAGCAGCTTGTGCTCCCAAGCAGGATTTTGCCCACACAGTACATATTTTAAAGTACAGACCAAACCTGCCGTTTGAGATGTTTACCACTGAAAGTTGCAGTTACTGTATTTGCAATGCTGGACCCTTAGAGTGGTGAATGCTTTTGCCAAATAGGCTTAAAGAAGCCACGTGGCAGCTCTTAATATCGCCTGCAGGCTACACCAACAATCCAACTGATGTCTGATGACATGGCCTGAAACATGGGCACTGAGTAAAAGATAGGTTTTGAAACTGTCCTATAAAACACATAAGGGTTCTATGTCTTTTCATATGCCTGTTTCATAAGATCGTTTTTTGTACGTTGTTGCAAGTGGGCCATCAACACCTCTTATAGTATTAGTAACATATAATAATAATAATAATAATAATAATAATAATAATAATAATAATAATAATAATAATAATAATAGGATTAAGATAGGAGATGTAAGACAGTGTTTTCTTGTAGGATTCCATTAAAAATCCTACAGTGAAATACAAACTCTGCCCTTAAAATCCCAAGAACGCATTCAGCATCTTATACTATTCAATATAGGTCAGATTTTGAGCCTAAATTATTTGGCAGGACCATTTCATATCACAGCTGTGGAAAAAAATAGTTTGGGATAAAGAGGAATTAAAATCCTTCCTGCTGGCAAGATCATCAAATAAGCCAGGGGATGAATAGGCATGGAAACCTATCTAGGCTTGCTGCAAACAATTCCTTAGAACCCAAGACTGGATTTTGAAAAATAAATGTGTGGCTTTTTTCTCATTCTTTGCCTGTAAAAATAGCTGTGGGATGTAAATCGTCCCACTGAGTCAGCGCAGAAAGGAGCAGCCTCCATGGCTTAGTGGGTTGCTAACTTCAAAGCTGAATTTAGCGGTTGGAGTGTTGCTGCTGTAAATGTTGGGGAGCTTTTATCTGTGTCTGACAACTCCCAGTGTTTGAGTACAGTGAGCACAGTGCTGTGTTTCAGAGAATGTGATGCTGAAACAGACGAGTGGCACATCAGCATCACTCCCACAAAAGGCAGAGCCTGGGTACAGCCCTGAACCACCTTTTCTCCCTGTCTGCTGCAGGGAGGGAATCCCTGGAGAGGGGAATGAAGGAAGCCCAAGCCCGTGTGTGTTCTCTCCTCCACACACAGGGATGCTGCTTTGGAGACAGGCTGGACTCTCCACCCTGCTGCTTCAAGTTCTGGCTGAAGCCTTTCCCAACCTTAACCGCCATGAAATCACATGGAAGTGGACAAAGGCAGGCAGTTCTGCATTTACAACGACGTTATTGCACAGATGTAAAATGTTCTCTGAATCACCAATACTCAGCTCACACTCATTTTGCTCCTGGAGCTCCTGCTCTGCCTTAAAGGAAGCCCTGGGCTGTTTGGATACATGTCTGAACAGTCAGGGGCTGCTGGGATAAGGAGCTGGTGTGAAACAGGACAAGCCTGCACATCCTTATTCCATACTATTTGGGGAGTAGAATCACCAAGGTCA